ATGGCTGCATACCTCACCATGCAGTAGGCAATTTATCAGACTAAATAACTTAAAACAAAACTGCACACCCGTAGGTGAATTTATTGTCTGCATTCTCTTCCATGCGGAGATGCCTTTGATGTCCCCGCCTGCACCCAACTTTTACGATCTGGCAGGGGATGGGAAACAACGATGGTTCTATTGGAGGCAGCTGTGTAAGCAGTTCCCATTTAACTGGAAGACAATGAAAAATTAATCGCAAACCGAATGTAACTAAGTTTTGGTGGAAAGAGCAAAACCACTCAGACATTATCATCTTCAACAGATGTTTGCTGACTGTCTAAATTTACAAAATTACCTGTCATGTTTTACTATTTCCTCGAGGAAAACAAAAAAGAAAATCAGCAGGCCTGACTTGTCTCTCTGAGTTAATAAAACGTTCCCCATATAAATAGGATATTAAAAGAGCTTTTGACTTGCAGTCATAACAGTTAGCTGGAAAGATTGAAAAACAGCAAATGGGAGAGATAGTCCTCTCACTAGTATTGATTGCTGTTCGATATTCTTAACTACAGAAGGAGAGTTCAGAAGAGTCTTGGCAGTTAAAAGACTGTTTTCTGCCTTCTTACATCTCCCTCTCTTTTTTGAACATCTGCTTCTGCTATGGAAAAAGGTGAGGTGACATTTGTCATGTCTGAAAAGTTGTTTTCCTACAGGCGGAAAATATCCAGCAGCATATCATGCAAAGAAAATTGAACAGGGGCTGAGGGCCAGCAGAAGGCTCTCGAATTCTTTTCTAACAAAAGCCCTGCAAGGATGTGGGTGGCGCTGTGGGTTAAACCACTGAGCCTCTTCGGCTTGCCAATGAGGTTGGTGGTTTGAATCCCCACGACGGGATGAGCTCCCGTTGCTCAGTCCCTGCTCCTGCCAACCTAGCAGTTCGAAAGCATGAAGTGCAAGTAGATAAATAGGTACCACTCCGGTGGGAAGGTAAACGGCGTTTTCGTGCACTGCTCTGGTTCACCAGAAGCAGCTTAGTCATGCTGGCCACATGACCCGAAAGCTCCCTTGGCCAGTAAAGCGAGATGAGCACCGCAACCCCAGAGTTGTTTGCAGCTGGACTTAACTGTCAGGGTCCCTTTACCTTTAAAGGAATATTATCTCCTGACACATCCTTTGTTGCATTAACTTTGTTCTGTAAAACAAAACTTTCTTATTTGTCCAACTTCTGCCTGAGTCTCCCAACTATCCAAGTTTACCCTCATACTAAAACCAAAAGAGAACCCATCTTGGTTATTATAGCGTATACCGAGGGGGTTTGCTGTACCCCAAAGTTAAAAAACCGACACTTTTAAAAATGTTTTGTCTATTTCCTTTATAAAAATATATCCTGAACTTTTAACCACTAAGATTCCAGGGGTATCACTTCTGCTATGGCTCTCACTTGCATTAACATGGACAACTGTTGTCTTGGGTCACTGGGTGCTATCCAACAGTCAGTGGTACAGTGGTTAGAGTGTTGGAATAGGACCCATGAAGCTCACTGCGTGACCTTGGACTAGTCACAGGGTCTCAGCCTAGCCTACCTCACAGGGTTGCTGTGAGGATAAAATGGAGTTGAAGAGAATGCTGTGCAGTACCTTGAGCTCCTTCGCTGAAATGAGGGATATCACTGCAAAGAACAAATAAACAAATAAACAAATAAATACATAGGTGCCCTTCTGTGAGTGCAAAGGACTTCTGTTCCAATGGTGTCCACTAACAATCTTTGCCAACTCCTCTGCCTCCCTGCAGCTCACAACACTCCTCCCAAAATCTGTTGTGGAAGGTCCTGTAACCCACCAAAATTGATTTGTATGTGTGGGAGGGTTCTGGGGGCTGCTAAGAGGAAGGGGAATTACCAATAATAATCTCCTCTCTTCTTCCATTAGTAGGCACCTCTGCTGAAGCCAGCAGTGCTAGGAGCACCACCAGGATTCTACCCATTGGAAATAAAAGGTAAAGGACCTCTGACAGTTAAGTCCAGCCGCGAATGACTCTGGGGTTGTGGTGCTCATCTCACTTTACTGGCCGAAGGAGCCGGCGTTTGTCCTCAGACAGTTTTTCTGGGACATGTGGCCAGCATGAATAAGCCACTTCTGTCTAAACCAGAGCAACACATGGAAACACCATTTACCTTTCCACCGGAGCGGTACTTATTTATTTACTTGCACTGGCGTGCTTTCAAACTGCTAGGTTGGCAGGAGCTGGGACAAAGCAACGGGAGCTCACCCCGTTGGCAGGGATTCGAACCGCCGACCTTCCAATTGGCAAGCCTTAGGCTCAGTGGTTTACACCACAGCACCACAAGCAAAGCCTGCTGAGAGTGAGGGTAGGATAAAGCCCATGCAGCAACTTTTTCACTAGCTGTCCTGGACACATGCTGGGAAAGGTTCATGTTTCCTGATTAGATGGGGGCAGGAGTTAAAAAAACAACAACTTCAGTCTGTTCCTGAGTGTTGTCAGCATCACACAAGGTCACAGCCTCCTTTAGGGCCAAGGAAACAAATCAAAGTTTGCTCCACAGCCGTGACTCTGCCTCCATGTTCGGTTCTAAACTTGCATAAGAGCAAGCAATCAATATTCAGTTTAGAAATAATTGATAGGATGATACAGCTGCTCATGCCAAAGGATTAAGTCTCAACCAATAGTAATAACCCCAAGGCTTTTTATAATGTAGAGAATCTTCTTCTGGGTAGGAAATCATTTCTCTAGAAGGAGAAATTCTGACAGATGGCATTAAGTTGTCAGAACCTACACATATATGGCTGTGATAGATGAGTTCTTCCATATGGATTTTAACTTCCTTGGCATGCTGGGTTTTCTGATGGCTATCAGGTCAGATGATGTGACAAATTCTGGGAGAAATAAAGACTCTCTGTGTAGCAAAATGTGTGGAGAGTTTCTCTGACAGAGACACAACCAGAAGCCGCTCCATGTAGTGAGAAACAGAGCTGCTGGTTGGAGCATTCTCTGGCTCTCCTCTGACTTCTGTCTGCTGCTCTGCCAGGGGCTCCAACTGGGCCCCCACTTTGAGGGGATCCAGCCACGTGACACCACCTGGCATGCACCGGGTGGGGGAAGGACATGGGGAGGGTGATCTTCACGCTTCCTCATTCCAGCCCCTGCCTGGCTCCTCGACTCCCGGGCAGAGGCTGGGATGAGCAAAAGCAAAGATCGCCCTCAGTTGTCTCAGCTGCCACGCAGCTGGGGGGTGCTGAAGCCCCTTCTGCCCCCTGTACCCAGAACCCCTGTGCTCAGCCTTGAGAACTTGGTTGTGAAATTGAAGAATTAAAGACCAGCAGGGGCTAAAAGGGATCTTGGCAGTGGTCATATTATTCAGTGGTCGTTTGTTCAAGAGGGGTAGTTATTCTATTTTATTTACTCATTTCATATATTTATATACCACAATGCCAAAATAACCTCTAAGTGGCTTACACACACACACACACACACACACCTGCATTGCAAGGCAGGCAATTTACTATGGTCACAGTTCAATTCAAAGTGTTGGTGCTGACCTTTAAAGCCCTAAATGGCCTCGCTCCTGTATACCTGAAGGAGCATCTCCACCTCCATTGTTCAGCCTGGGCACTGAGATCCAGCACCGAGGGCCTTTTGGAGGTTCCCTCACTGCGAGGAGCCAAGTTACAGGGAACCAGGCAGAGGGCCTTCTCGGTAGTGGCACCTGCCCTGTGGAACGCCCTCCCACCAGATGTCAAAGAGAACAACAGCTACCAGACTTTTAGAAGACATCTGAAGGCAGCCCTGTTTAGGGAAACTTTTAATGTTTGATGAATTATTGTATTTTAATATTTTGCTGGAAGCTGCCCAGAGTGGCTGGGGAAACCCAGCCAGATGGGTGGGGAAGGAATGTATGTATGTATGTGTATATATATACATTATTCTGGTTCTCTCACTAAGGTTTCTATTTCCCACCCAAGATGCTGACCCAAGGATGGGTGAAAATTCACATACACCCCTCCCTGGTATTTCTCTTTCTCACCAGGCAGGCTCAAGCAGCAACGTTCCTTCAGGCATGGTCATCACTTGATACCTGTGGCTTCAAGCGTCCATCTGCATGCATGAACAAGCAGCCCCAGATCAAGAACCACATGGAGAGCTTCCATGGCATCTCCAAGGCAACACCCTTCCAAAGAGTCTTGGCACTGAAGCTTCTTTTCATTCCATCTGACCCAGACCTAATTAAATGGCTTGGCGGTCAGTCCAGAATGGCCAAAGGGAGATACTCCTATGTACAAGGCACAATTTAGGTTTGGAGAGGATTAGGCACAGTGGTAAAAGAGGGGAGGTCTATCAGCTGTAATAATAATTTCTAAATGGAAGGGCTGTAGCTCAGTTGCAGAGCCCATGCTTTGCTTGCAAAGGTCCCAGGTTCCATTCCCAGTATCTCCAGGTGGGAAAAGACTCCCTTCTGAAGGTCTAGATCATCCTTTATCAACCTTGGGTCCCCAGATGTTTTTGAACTACTACAACTCCCATCATCACTGACCACATGCTGGCTAGGAATGATGGGAATTGTAGTCCAGTAGCATATCAGAACCCAAAGTTGGGAAAGGTTGGTCTGGATAATTGCTGCTGGTCAGTGCAGACCAGTGCTGGAGAATCTAACTTGGCCTGAAAGGCTATATCCCGCAAACCAGGACCACCAGTCCCATATCTGACATCATATGTAACACAATGTGTGAAGCAGGTGAAGATGTGGCTGTAAAGGAACCACCAGGAGCTTAAAGCATGTTCTTTACTGCTCCTCAGCAAACAGGGCTGCTTTGCATTCAACCTGTACCGACAAACCAACATCCCACCCCCTGTGAGCAGGCTTTGCAGACACCTTTGCCTGTCTGCAGGGTGTGGTGGGTGTTGATTTGGAAGCATGGCTTGAATCCAAATTATACCTGCAAACACCGGAAGCAGGGCTTGCAGTCGGCACCAATTAGCTGGGTCACCATTTGCGGTCAGGAAAGGCCATGGTTCAATGTGAAAAGCATCTGCTTTGCATGCAGAAGGCCTCTGGTTCAATCTCCAGGAACGCTGGAAAGGCCTTTCTGCCTTGAGAGTCACTGTCAGTCAGTATACACAGTTCTGAGCTAGCTGGACCATTGGATTCATTCGGAATAATGCAGTTGGCCTTCTGTATTCCTGAAGTGGTCGCCTGATGTCATAACAATGTCAAGTTTTTAACATATGGGAAGCTCCACCCATTTGTCAAAATGGCCAGTGGAGGGGGGGAGGTCAGTATGCGGCCCACAGGCTAGATCCTGGTCCTCAGCCCTGGTGTAGGCAACCCTGAGCTGGATGGACCAATGGCCATCTTACCTGCCCATTGCATGATTCAGAAGCACTGATTGCCATTTCCCGAGAGGCAGGCAGTCAAGAATGGATATTGCCTTCATGCACTCATTGTGGGGATCAGAGAGGCATATCCGTGGCCATGATGGGAAACACTGGACAGGCACTGGGTCCAATCCAGCCAGTAGAGGCTGGTTGATTGGGGTGAATGAAGGGCTGCCCTTCCAAACACAGTCTGTCCTTAGCCAGCCCCCATCTGGCTGCCTTCTTACTTATAGCGAGTATGGGGTGGGTCTGCCTATAATTGACTTTTGCTCCACCTACTGTGGAGGGACGCGGGTGGCGCTGTGGGTTAAACCACAGAGCCTAGGGCTTGCTGATCAGAAGGTTGGCGGTTCGACTCCCCGCGACGGGGTGAGCTCCCATTGTTCGGTCCCTGCTCCTGCCAACCTAGCAGTTCGGAAGCATGTAAAAGTGCAAGTAGATAAATAGGTACCGCTCCGGTGGGAAGGTAAACAGCGTTTCCGTGCGCTGCTCTGGTTTCGCCAGAAGCAGCTTAGTCATGCTGGCCACATGACCGGAAGCTGTATGCTGGCTGGCTCCCTTGGCCAGTAAAGTGAGATGAGTGCCGCAACCCCAGAGTGGTCCACGACTGGACCTAATGGTCAGGGGTCCCTTTACCTTTTTACCACCTACTGTTGGTATCCCTGCCCTCCTCAAAGGTCACCAGCCACTACTGGACCAAAGAGGAAGATAGAATGTCGGACTTCAAGGGTTGTGTCCAATCAAGTTACACCCACTGAGAGTTATAACCACTGAATTCAATAGACTTCAGTTAAACATGTTCATTAATTTCAAATGGTTTACTTAGAGTAGGACTAGAACTGAATATAATATTGGAAGTGTTCCACAGGAAATGATCCATATATGGAATGAAACAAATAAAAACAGTTAAATGGAGAGCAGTTATAGAAATTATAGAAATGCTCTCCCCATGTAAGTTTGCCTGGCACCTTCGTTATACACCTTTAGGTTCCAGGCAAAAATGTTCCTCTTCAAACAGGTTTTTGGCTGACCAAAGACATTTTAAATATTCTTCAGGGGTGGGAGCTGGGGGGGTGGGGGTGGGAGGGACTTATTGTTCTGTTTTTATTATGAATTTTAAGTTTTTATATTGTATTTTTTTGCTGTATCTACGGATGAAGGGTGGTAAACAAATGTAATAAATAATAGTAATAATAAAAATAAAAATATTTTAAAATCCATCAATCAGTGATGGTCATTTATTCTCCGAAACACACACACACAAACACATAAATTTCACAGTGAAACACAGGTGGAAAGCAATGTAAAAACTCAAGTATTTGAGTCCTGCATTAGGCTACTCATTTCCTCCCAGCATCAAAATTGAAGCCATGATGGATGAGCTGCTAGCACTGTTTATTTGGCCCAGTTTCATAATTTGACAGTGTGAAAATATTGATCTGAGGCTGAAATTCAGACAGCACAATAAGGGCTGCCACAGAGCATCTACGTCACCTCCTGAAAGGTATCCTGGTTATGAAATTGCCAAGTTGATGGATGTCGCATCTGCATTGGAGCTGAAGGTCTGATTCCTTTCCCATCCCATGCCTTCCCCTACCACAGACCTCCTGAGCCCATAGAGACACTACTGAAAATCACGAGAATGTGCTCTTCTTCTTCAGCACACCCTCCTCACCTTTGGAATCATGAACATCACTGATTTGGTAGGATGCCTACCCACACACCCAAGTTGCTCTCACAAGCTCCAAATGAGATTGAACCTCCCCTTTGCATGTGTGGCACTGCAGGGACATTGCAAGAGACAGGCTGCATGTTGTTTCCCATGCATGGCCTTCTGGGTAGAGGAGAGAGATAGAATAGCAGGGAGAGTAGCAATTACTGCACAGAAAGAAGCTCCTGCTGCTTGATTAATATCTCACCAAGGTTTTAGAGGAGATAATGAATGGCCCATGTCAGTGGCCCACAAAAGTCTGGCTAGTCAGCCCAGCAGGGTGCATGCAAGCCTTAAAGGGACTCACACCAACAGGAGCCCGATGCAAAGTTTAAGATGCAAGATGTAGGAGATCCATCTGAGCTGTCACAAACTTTGGAGGCAAGCGAAACGGCAGAGCCTTACAAGGGACTGATACCTTTTGAGATGCTGAGAGCTGCCTGGATAAGAATAGCCAGAGGAGGGTGGGGGAAAGCTCTCCTCTTGAGATTCTGTTTGCAGGCTGTGAAGGTGAAGAACACATTTTCTTTATATTGGGAGAGGAGCTGTTTTTAGGAAACCACCAAAATGGTTGAGCTTTTGAAGCTGTTTCCGCTGCTTTTTCCATCACCTTGCCGATTTGTCAAAATCCCCCCAGCCCGATGCCATTTTCACACCCGAAAATCAATTCCTCCTGAGCTCCCACAAACATTCTCCTCTGGTGGTGGGCAGAGGTATGTGTTCTACAAAGAACAAAGGAAATTGCCTTATAATGAGTCAGATCACTGGTCCATCTAGTTCAATACTGTCTTCACTGATTGGTGGGGGCTCTCCTGCAAAATTAACTACCTATGTAGGGTACATTTACCCTGTATTAGTCCACGTGGAGGAAGAAACACTTATCACAATACTCACAAGAGACTCTAGAGGTCACCCTAACAACCTTCAAGCGTTTGAAACAGGCTAAGCAAATGGATCACTAATCAAATCAATTTCCTCCCAGAAAATTGATTTGGAATTGAAAGGGAAGGATGAGTTCAGCATGATTTGTATTGTTAAGCCAGAACATCAAGTTGATGAATAATGGTCATTATGCTGTGTTGTACAAGACGGAACTGTGAGATTGGAGGCGTTGCCTGTGCAAATGACTGGGGTTAACAAGGAGGAGATAGAGACCTCATCGTGTCAGAGCAAAGAATATGGATGTGTTTAAGAAACTCAGCAGACGGCTTAACCTTCATTTGTACACATGGGCAGGTGTGAAAAGTCTAGAACAACAAGGAATGCTGGTAACAGACTGTGAGTCAAGCGTCTGAAATAAATTTGCATTATTTGGGCTCCATAATTAGTGTTTCTGCGGGGTCAAGCCATAGCCAGGATACCTGCTAACATTCACCCTGGGCAACCTTTAGAAGGGGTCTTACACCGTATTGCTCATTTGATAACGGTAACTATCATCACATATAACTGTAGCTTATGAAAAAGAGTAGAACAGGCAGATTTGCAAAGGTAACTGATTTCCCCTCCTCCTGGCTTCAGTATAGAAACTGCAATTATATTTTGACGTAGACAAAGAGGTTTGCCATCCCTTCATTATTTTTAAAGTAGATCAACAGGAGGGAACAATAATGAACCACTGACCAAGGGATGGGATTGGAGAGTTTAAGAGAAGAGCCTATTTATGTTTGTGCGGGTGCATTGGGGGGGGGGAGTGCAAGATTGCAACCTCGCATGAGAGCATGGAGCCCCAAAACACGTGTTGGAGGGTATACACTGGTTGGGACTGATGGAATAGTACATCCAGCAATGGCAATAGGACCACAGGTTTGCCATCCCTGCTATAACTAACTATGCCTCCTACATTGGATGTGCTCTTTCTACACGCCTGACACCCGGATGTATTCTGGGACTGAAGTCCTTCCCTCATGCATCACAGTAGACTCATTGATTGAATCCCTGCTGCTCTGATCACAAGCAGTGTGGTCTCAGTCCATTAATTTGGAGCATGGAAACTAACAAAAATCAATGAGGTGCTACTTAAAACCCACTTTGCTCATGATTATAAATCCTGTGTTTAAATGTGTGCAAGGAACAAGAGAGAACATTTGAGTAAGTGGTAGAAGACAAACCAAGTCCATTGAGCCCTTTCTCAGATGTAACAGGAAAGAAGGATAGGGGCAATTGCAGGTGCTCAGCTGAAGCTGAGCCTAGATACATATTTTCTATGCCCTAGCTGGGCCCTGTGTGCTAGACCAGTGATTCTCAAACTTTTGTACTGGTAGGCTACTGAAAATTGGTGGGGTTCTGAGCAGACCACTTAAAACATATATTTTTTTCAGGGCCAGCACTATCAACATCAGCACTGTATTATTATGAAAACCACAGGCCCTAAGCCAGGCCAATGAGAAGGACCATTTTAACTAGTACCTAAAGGTAAAGGGACCCCTGACCGTTAGGTACAGTCATGGACGACTCTGGGGTTGCGGCCCCTCAACTCGCTCTATAGGTTGAGGGAGCCGGCGTACAGCTTCCGGGTCATGTGGCCAGCATGACTAAGCTGCTTCTGGTGAACCAGAGCAGCACACGGAAACACCGTTTACCTTCCCGCCGGAGAGGGATACTTTAATTAGGAAAAAAATTAGTAGACTACATCAGCGCTGTAAAGTAAAAATCATGGGTCCTATGCCAGGGTGTTGAGTATATCTGACCCTGCTTTAAAGAAACTGTCTTGGTGTCTGTTGTCAGATCCAAATGCAGATATCCTCAGCTGCTCCATCAACTTTCCAGGGACCTTCTGAATAAGTTCATGGACCACCAATGGCCTGTGGACCACAATTTGAGAACCTCCTTGGTGAAGTATCTTACTGGAGACCAAAACAGGTTCATTGGTTCAACACTTGAGGAGAGAAGAGGAAGAAGTCTAGGGATGGACCCACACTGCCATTTTGAATTACCAACAGGATGGAACCTAAACTCTGATAGATGTGAGATTTTGCAGTTGACAGTGACGTATGGGTCTAG